AATATGTTGCTCTCATAATATTCTCTCTACTCTAGGAATCTTAAATGGGAAAATTAAGAATGGTAGAGATGAGAGTAAAGGCCAGCGTTTATTGAGTGTTGTCTGTGAGTCAGAGGCTGTGCTTAATGATACATTCATTTGCCTGTTTGTTCATTCTTTTCAAGTAGCTATTGAATATGCACCTGTGCCAAGTAAGCTTCTAGCTGCTAGGGAGAACTCATGCTCATGCACATGCTTGGTGCAGACACTTTCCTTGATGTCATGGAGCTAAGAGTAGAGAGAATACGTGTATGATCCACAAAGTGATATGAACTCACAGTTGTGACCAGAACTACTAAGTACAGGTGTATGATTTGTAAAACATGGATTAAAGGAATTCAACCTGGCTAGGAAGGAAAAAGAATTGGTTTTGTGTTGACATATGAAGGATCGATAGGAATTAGTGGGGTACAAAGGACAAATGTAAACATGAGCATCGTGAGTGAGCGTCTGATGATAACAGGAATGTAGGAATTATAAAAATCTAAATAGTTATCTTGTTTAATATTGATGACAGTACTGGGTTTCAGGCATTATCCTCTTCATTTTATAGTCCCTCTTATACTCCTTTCTTCTCACTGAATTGAAGTTCAGCGAGTATCAGTCACTTACCTAAGGTCGTACTGTCTGGAAGTAGCAGGACCAAGAGAACAGCAGTGTGTCTGGCCTCGAGGGGTATACCCTTCGGACATACACTTCTGTCCCTCCTTAATGAGTACCTGACCCAGGTGACCTCAAAGGAGATTTATAACAGCAGGAATCATGTAATATCAGTGTTTACTTTGGATTACAAAAGAGAAAAACCTTATAGATTTAAAGACAATGTATGACAAGTCTTGTTGGATATGGATACCCCTGCCTAAATACTTGTAAATCTTATTATATCATATTACCCATAACCATACCAACATACAACTCTAAGAACAGATTATTTAAAAATAACCATAAATCTTAGCAGTATCGCCAGCAGATATAAAAAATAATTACAAAGTATTTCAGTTTTTCTCAGTTGATCTTTTTCCTATGTCTGTCTGCTTTTCCACAAACAGTTCAAAATAACATAAAACTAAGTACTATTAACTGCAATTAATTGTTTCTTTTACATTGCTTACTCTGGCTCTTTCCTCAGTCTTTCCATTTTTTTATATTAGTTGAAACATTTTTGTGGAATTTCCTTTTTTTATTGTTGTACATTCTCTCATTCATGTTTTCGGGAATGAAACATTAAATTCACAAATGCTTTTATCAAGAATCTTCATAAGTGGAATTGAATACATTGATCAGAGATATATGATAAATAAGAACCAAGATAGATATATTATGAAATGGTACAAATTTTCAATGATGAATGTCACTATATTGTATCCATAAAATGTACCAATAAAATTAATTCTGAAAACAGATATACAACAGCCACTCTTATTATTATTTGAATTAGATCGGAAAACGATTGATTGGAAAGTTCTATTCATCTTTTATCAAATCCTATGGTTTGCATGGGAAAAAGAAAAGCATGAATACTTGATTCTTTTCCTTTGCCTACCCATTTTAAAACTGATAAACTTAGTTTTATCTCATTGTCTAATGCTGAAAAATTCATTTTTCTCAGCCATTTATTTGGTTTCATTATGAACTAATAAATTTACACCCTTGAAGTTTTTTTAGTCCCTTGAAGTTGTGATTTTTATTGAATAATGTCCTGTACGCTCCTAGTTAATTAAGCCTTTTCAAATTGCATGCTGAATATTTTTAACATGATATCAGTAGTAATCTATAATTTGTTTCATTTTTAACGTGGCAAGATTTTTAGGGTCTTCTTATGCATTTTCTATCCTAAACTTGACTTCTTTTAGTTAGAAAATTATATTTAAAGGCCAAAATTGAGACTTTGTGGATGTTTATTACTATTAGCTAACATTATTTTGATTTTTTTTCCAGTAGGCCCAGCTTAGAAGCCAAAATGTAAAAATAACAGCAAAAGAAAACATATACCTTGAATATCATTAGGATTGTACTGCTTTTCCTTTTTTAATAGTATCCTCATCCTTTATTTCTCATAGGCTGCAATTCTTGATGGCTTATAATGTTCTTTTCATTTATCTTGTTATTTATAATTATATCAGAAGTGCATTGCTAATAGTGTTTCATTAGCAATATGATAACTAAAAACTGCTGGGAGATTTTTGTGATTTCCTTTGTCCTTAAGATACAGTATCAGAAAATCATCTACAGTACCACCAAATTACTGTGCTTCACAACACCTTGAAACAATTACTCTCTGTGTGGCAATGCCTCTGGTTTGATACTCAAATTCACTTTCCCAATTTGTCCTTGATTTTGTTTAAAAAAAAACCTGTAGTCTTCATAAGTTCACGACATCTACATGGCATCAAAGAGGCAGAGAAGAAGCGAGGAAGAGGTGGCATCCTTCTCCGGTTAGATGAAGTTCGTCTGAGGGCAGTGAATACAGCACGGCAGCAGATCCAGGGGATGGAAGGCCCTTGGCCAAGAGCTTCCTTTTTCCTTTCGGAGCAAGGATAATCTATAGCCGGTGATATGAGATGCGATTTTCCTGCAAGGCAAGGTATTGCTTGCATTGACCAGGAGTTTTTTGATTGCTCTAAGTAAAAGGTGAATTTTTAGGTTATGAAAAAGAAAAAGAAACCAAATACAGAAAGAAAAAAGGTCAGAACACCATGAAAAAAGTTGATCATTGTTTTCCCCTTTGTGCTATTTTTGAACTTAGGTCGTACGATTTTTATAAAGTTTCTTAAAAATCCTTTCAGTCACTCTCCACCCAATTGTAGTCTTCCTCTTTCCCTGTAATTAGCTTTTTGAATGCCACTGTAAAACAAGAACAGTAGAAGTTCTGAGTTAAACTTTTTGCAAACTCTGGCTTAAGAGTTACCATCTCTTGGGGGGGGGATTTAGTTCAGGGGCAGCGCGCCTGCCTCACAAGAACAAGGTGTCCTGAGTTTGATCCCTGGTACCACAAGAGGAAGAAAAATTGTTACATCCAGGAAATGTACACCCGATGCTTCAATTTCATTGTACAAAAAATGGAGATAATAAAACACTGAGGAGCCAATGACATGATGTGTGGAAGTGCTTAGTGCAAGGCCTGTTGTGTAATGAAAGTCTAGCTGATGTTGACTTTTGCTACAGATGTTGTTTCTGCCTGTGTGTTGAAAGGGTTAAAGTTGGTGTAAATCACTTTTTTGGTCATTGGTCTCATTGCTTTGTCATAGTCTTCCTGGAAATTTTGCACCATGTAGATTTCTTTTTTTTCTTTCATTTCTTCTAGCCAACCCTAGCTAAAGATAACTCTCTAAACTTAGGTGTTCAAAGAGCAGGGCGAGGGGTGTTGGAGCTATTCTTCAATATGAGCTAGCAAAGTTCTCTATTCTCAGTTCTCAGCACAGGGCCGGGAATCGGTTCCTTTTTCCTGCTCCCAGTTAGAGCCATGTGAATTTGAGGTGAGTGAGACTGTAGTATGGAAAACCATAGTGAACTTGGACCCAGTGCCTCAGATCTGGGGAATATCCACTTAGAGTCATGGATGATACTGTAAAATTGACTTCCGCTCTCTGTACCCGGTATTACATGTAAGATCAAGTCATTCAAAAGATCCAGAGTTCCTTCTAGTTTGCAAAGTCTGTATTTCTAAATGTAGTTAACCTCCCTGCTTGGTATATTTTGTGTACCTGCCACTAAGACTTGCATGATCTCCATTTCTCTCACCCAATGAAATGATTTCCTTCCTTCTTGAAATGTCATAGTTTATGGAAATCATGGGTCTTCCTTTTCTCTTCCTGGCTGCCAAAAGACTGGAATTAATTTTTAAAGAAAATATTGCAGGCTTTCACTAGTATGAGTTTTCTAATACTGTAATACCTATCTCCATGTCCTAGTTATATAGATTTTATGCTTTTGTATTGCTTTAAGTGTAAGGAACATTTTTGCTTTAAGCTACCGTAATCTTATTACTGTTGTTACTGTGAGATCCTTTACAAGTTATACATTTTATTTGTTTCGATTATTTCATAATAATTTGCAGGGAAGTACCTCCTCCCCTTCCGCTCCCTATTATGAGGAAAAAGGAAGAAATAGACAAAATAATTTAAGAGATAGTATATTTGGGTATATATATACTTTTAGTCATTAGTATCAAAAGAGTTAAACATAATTCTAAGGGGGCAATAATTATTTAATAATTATCTGATTATGAGATTAAAAGATCTAAACCATTTGGTGCTGTCCATAGATTCTGGTTATTTGTTTGTTTTTGTATAAAAAACTACATAGTTCATGCTGACCTTGAAGTCACTGTGTAGCCCAGGCTGACCTCAAACTCACTGCAGTCCTCCTGCCTCAGCTTCCTGAGTGCTGGGATTACAGGCAGGAGCCATCAAGCCCGGCTCTCAATTCTGGTGTTGTCATTGTAGTCCTCTGAGTGGCCCTTAGCATGTTCCACTCTTTGGATTAAAAAGAACATCATATTTTACAGGATTTTGGTAACAGGAATGTAACAGAACAGTGTGAGCCTCACTTTGGATAAAATATAATAGTACAGGAAGGTGATCTTACAGTGCTCTTTGCTCTGCTTAATTCTACTTCATCCATTCTGTTAGTGATTTGGTGAAACATACTAAACGCACTGCATTTTCACATAGCACGGAAGAAATAGCTAAGACTAAGGCCCTAGAGTAGTGTAGACCTGGCTTACAATCCCTAGCTCTCTAGCCATATAATTTTTTTTTACAGGCAGATTGAGAGCTAAAGTTTGAAGCTATTTGAAGGTAGATTTCATTTATGATGAGATCCTTTGTAGCAAAAGCAGTCTGTGTTCTTTTTTTTAACAAAGACTTTTTTAATATCAAAGTACACTTCCAAAGGTCCAAACTAGACTCGAGGTCATGGCTGAAGTTAGGGAAAGGGGGAGCCGGGTTCACGGGACAGCAGGCACTAGGTCTAGTCACATGTGCTCACAGCGGAGGACAGGAGGTGGCACCGGCCTCCACAGAGGCTGGTCTTCTTCATGATGCGCAGGAACTCCTGCTCGCTGACCTGTCTCCATCTCGATCAGCTGCATCAATCATTTTCTGCAGCTCCTCATCAGTCAGGCTCTCGCCCAGCTCCTTGGCCACACGCTTCGGATTTTTGAACGGTATTTTCCCTGTTTCATCATCATTGAAGAGCTGGAAAGCTTTCAGGATTTCTTCCTCGGTGTCTTTCTCCGACATTTTCTGAGTGATCACTGTCAAAAAGTCGCTGAAGTTCATTTTGCCTGTCCCATCCTCATCGATTTCACTTATCATTTTCTTGATTTCTTCTTTCTTGGGCTCAAAGCCCAGGGCTCTCATTGCCACCTTTAGTTCCTTCACATCGATGGTCCTGGTCCCATCTGCATCAAAGAGATCAAAAGCTTCCTGGATTTCCTGTTTCTGCTCTTCAGTAAGCTCTGGCTTAGGACTCATCCTTTCCGTCTGGGCACTCAACGCCATGTTTGCCTTCTTAAAATTGGAGGCCATTGTCGACAGACTGCACGGCCGTTGTTACGGCAACCAGCAGTCTGTGTTCTTGAAACGAATTCTATCTAGAGCCAAAGAGCAAATTGTGATGGTCCAAAGCTTTGTGTATTAAAAACCTGACTGCTGAACTCTAGTTTGAGTATTATTTGCCCTCGTGACGATGGCAGTGAGAACAATGATCCTATCCCACCCCGGGCTCCTTGGCTGCTGTGTGGGGACAGTGTTGCCATGTGGTACGCCACTTTGGGAGTGTTTGAGAAAAAGGGTGGTGCTGATGTCCAGTAAAGAGGGAGACATAAGAGCATGCAGGAGAGGTGTTGGGCAGTCACCTCCTTTGAATCAAGAATACAGAACATGGGGTTACTTAGTCAAAGGGCACCAGGGGAGCACTGAGAACATACTACAGTTGCTAGGCACTTACAAGCAGTACACATTTTATTAATTTCCACATAGCATAAGCGTAAAAACTCCTCAAGAAAAAAAACTGACTTCAGGGCAATAAAAACAGTCACAGAAAACATTGGTATTAGATTGTATTTGTCCTCAGTGCGGGCTTGGCCATTTACCGTGGCAGAGACTCAGTCGTACCATCTATGAAGTGGGAATAGTATTAGACACCCCCTCTTGGGTTACTTACGGGAATCAACATGAGATAATAGATGCAAAGAACAATGCTGACACACCATGTTTAATGATTCCTAGTTACAGTAGTTGTCCTTGTTAATATTAGTAGTTAAGTCTATCACGAAAGTTGCACCTTTCCAGCCAGTGAAGATAACTGTTACTGAGCATTTTCAGAAAACAAGGAACAGAGATGTAGGAGAGGATCTGAACCTGAGAACTTGTGATCCTATGGTTCTGGAAATGCCTCTCTGGGCTGGTCCTGTCGTTACCATGGTGCATTCTCACAGTTCCTCACTCCTCTCCTGCCCTCTTTTTCCATCCCACAGTCCCATCCTTTGCTCTGTGCAGATGTATCAAGGGCCAGATTGAGCCATCGGGAGATGGACCTATCTACAATTATTCCACCAGTAATGTGCCTAACCTTGCATAAACTCCTTTATTCTGTGCATCCATGGCTGATCCTAGGGGCTTTGGTTAAAATCTCTTTAACACCGTGGTCTCTGACTCTTCTATAGCAATTCCTGAATATGTAGTAGATGGATGGAGGATTAAAGAAATAATCAAAAGATACAATTCCATATGGAGGACCATCTTGTTAATCGTTTTATTTAACATGTCATTCCACGTCTGAATATTTCATTTACTGTCTCTGCCAGCTGCCTATTTAGCCTCTTCTTGCCTGCTTCCAGCCCCTGGGGATTCATCACCTCTTTAGTGCTCGTATTTTGCTTGAAACAAGTTTCCTAGCAAAGATTTGCAAACTTTTAACTTGTGATGAGTTACTCTTATTGGCCCTTCTAGTTGTAATTGTATTTTAGCAGGTAAGTTCTGGAAACTTTCTCTTTAAAGCAAAGGAATTCTATTTTGAGGGCAGAATTTCAGGTCCAAGTCCTGCAGAGAAAAACATGCTGCTTTCACACATTTGGTTTAGTTGTGCAGGGATACAGGATAACAGGTGTTCGCAGGATTTCCATGTTCCTTATGAATTAGATTTTGCACACCAGTAGGTATGGGGGAGATGTACTACAAACTATGTTGTGACTGAATATGTAGTCATGGTTCTTGCATATAAAAAAGGTTTTGCAAAAAATACATTTCTTTTAGTTGTAAGGGAGGCCATAGAAATGAATTATGCTTTTAAAGCTTAACAGCTCTTTTAAGTTAAACTTACACAACCATGAGAGTCAATTTATTTGAATCAAACATTTAAAAGGATATTATTCTAAGTTGCAATTAAGACTGAAATGTCATCATTTGATTTCTCCCTGGAAAGCATTTGTTTGCCATCCTAGGACTGAGCTGTTAAATTGGCCACATCTGGAGAGAAACTAAAGACAATGCTCTATCAAACCTCATTTTCAGCAGACACATCTGCTTCTTGGGGAAAATAAAAAAGACAGCCGAAGAGAAATGAAAGAAGCACAACAGATATATGGGGGAAGAGCGTTAGCTGGTCACCATGGAGAGCTGTTGGATTAATTTGCATCCCACTTACCATTGTGTTCCTGATGTGCATTATGTGATGGTTCATCGTATAGTATGCTGGCGTAGTGACAGGGTAGAGAGTTCTAGAGAGAGAGAAATGCCATCAGGCCAAAGCTTGGGTATTTTTCTGAACATGGGATGAGGCTGTCCTAAGCCTGTTCCTCTGACAGCTGTCACTGCCATTTATAGGGGGATAAGGTGCATGTAGTCTTTATTTTATTCACTAAGTTTATTGGTACATTTTAGGTATACAATACGATGACATTCATCATTGGGAATTTGCACCTCTATGTGATATATCTTCTTAATTTTTTCCGCATTCCTCTGCCCTTCCTTCAACCCCTCCACCCTTCCCTGTTTACAAAGACTTTGTTTCCATTGTTTCCCTTTCTCGTATGTATTCCTGTCCCTTCCTTCCTTGTCCCTACCCCTCCCCTTCCCCTTTGGGCCTTTTCTTCCTGTTTCACATTATCTCTTACACATTTTCATCCTCATTTACACTTCTAGTTTCTCACAAGGGACATATTACTCAGCGTAGGCCAATTAGATTTTCTTACGTATTAGGCATTAGGATTGAGGTATAACTCAGCCTGTTTCCGTTTGCTTAAATAGAAGAAATTTAAATGTGGGAGACTTGGGGAAGCTGTGTTTGGCTAAAAGATCAGGAATAAAAAGTAGGTTAAGCATGGAGCAAGAGCGCTGCCGCCATGGCCCGGTGTGGTTTTCCAGACCCTGGTTTGACACCTTTGCCTCTTCTTGGCATCAGTGAGATGGCCGTATCTACATTTTTCTCATTTTGTTGCAGTATTTAAAGTTAGTTTCTATCAACTAGAAGCAAGAGTTGAACGACTTAAAAAGATTTAAAAAACTGACACTATTATCTTGCTGTTTCAGCTGTTAATGATAAAGTTTTCCAGAAAGTTCAGGTAAGGACATCTTTTTTCAGAACTTCTGTACTGGATGGTAAGGAAAGCACAAAGAGACTTTGTTACAGTGTTGCTGTGCTCTTCTTCATTCATCACTGCCTTCTGCATCAACCTCTTTCCTGCCAGGCTTCTCGAGAGAAAGCAAAACTCAGTGAGGCTACATAGCCAAGTCCCTTTAATATGAAAACACCCCTGGAAGATGCCTGCATTTCCTGGGATCTCCCTTTGGTCTTGACTTTTGGTTTCTCTTCATAAGTGGCCGCCGACACTTCTTTTAACACGGTAGCAGCACTTTTCTGTCTTAATTGGATGGCAACTCGTCCTGAGTCTAGGAAGGTTGAATTATGTTCATTACTTGTTATTAGTGAAATTAATTATTCATTGATTAATTTTCTCTCCCTTCCTGGAATTAGAAAAGAGATAAGAATGAGATACCGTGTGTTAACAAAGCCTGAGAAGATTCCATTTATCATCAAGTTGCCTAGAAATACCACAAAGGTACAGAAATACTGAAATAAACCAATGGATTAGGGTCAACATGTAGATTTCCTAGAGACAACTCACCCTCGCTTCATCACAGGCTGTTCTTTTCATTTGTCACATTTCCTACTTTGCCAGCCTTAGCTTGAGCTACGACCTGCACCTTAGTAACTTTCCATCAGTGGGACAGGATACCCGATACCCACAACATATAGGGAAATAGGTTTATTTCGGCTGTGGGTCTCAATCCAGCCTTGGCAGTCACCAAGGCAGAAGAACCAGGATGGAAGAGGGGTATGGTGATAGGCCTGGGGTCAAGAAGGCTGCTCATCCCATGGTAGTCAGGAAGCAGAGAGAGCAGGGAGGACCAGAGAACAAGAACACATCCTCTACAGCAGGCTCTCAGTGACCCACCTTTCTGTCCAGGCCCCACCCGCTGCAGCACATTCCGCTATGAACTCAGGAGTGGATGAACCCACAGTAAGGACAGTGACCCATGATCCGATCACCTTCCAGACACATGAAAGTTTGGGAAGACATTGTAGATCTAAATCGTAAGAGTCACATTTCTGTTATTGAAATTTTTTGTGGAAGGTGTTCACTGAACCCCTGACCCACCCACCTACAAACATACCTGTGACTATTCTTCCCTACTTGCTTTCAGATTACAATTTTGATCATTATTCCTGGAATAATGTAAAGTTGACTATGAATTTTTGGAAAATAGAATCTAGGATGGTACATTTTATCATCTCTGTAGTTAGAAAGTTGGTCTATGAAGATGGCTTGAATTCAGAAATGTTTCCAGCGCTCCATAAGCAGTAGACAAACATGGGAACAAGGCTTCAGGTTTCTGGCTCTCCCTGTGAGGATCTTAGAAGTCTGCCCTTCATTTTACAGCAGGGAAAAAGATACATTGAAAAATATGTAACTCTTCTGAGCTCTGTCAGGGAAGTGAGGTCAGCAGGACAAACAGCTACCCTGATAAAAGGCAAAAATGGAGAATCACAAATGATCATTGCACAGAGCTCTCTGGGAGTCAGCACCGTGCAGGAAAACCTCCACTCTAACTGGGAACTCCTGTGTGAACAAGTTTCAAGTCTCACTGAATAACTCCGGGGTGCTCAGTCACATGGGTGGGCAAGTTCTTGTGAGTTTTCCTGTCCGGAGTTTCTAGCAAGTCTTGAGGATAAATGCGAAAGAAAAATTCCTCTAGTTTCAGAGGAGCAGAGTCTGAGGAGTGTAACCATTTAGAAAAATATCAGAGCATCTTAGAGAGAGAGAGAGAGAGAGAGAGAGAGAGAGAGTGTGTGTGTGTGTGTGTGTGTGTGTGTGTGTATTTCTGT